CTTCGAATCGGATTTTCTCGCTTGGCCATGTCTTGTTACCTCCGTGTCATTGGAAGACGCTTACATGTAGTACATAGTGAGCGCGAGGACAGGGCAGCGCTTGTCCTGTTTGCACTTCCTCTAGTCCCCGTTTTCTGCGCGCTGTTTGCCTTTTCGTCAGACGGACCAGCCTCTTTACCAGTCTCTTTGGCATGATGGATTGCGCCCGGTAGTCATTGTCTAGATTTTTGATTATTCAGGTGGTAGAGTCTTCATTGAATGTCTTGGGACAACTGGCTGCATATTTGGTCAGCTTTCATAGCCTTTCTGATCCTCTTCTTTTTGGAATCTGTTTTCAACTTAATTCCCTCCCCCCCTGTCAAATTAGATGCGTATGCTCTGACATTCGAAATGCAAATAGAAGAGAACTGCGCAACCGAAAAAAAACAAGGCCTTGCCACATTGCTCGCTTTTGTGACTCAAACAAAAGCACTAAAATATGGATGGTGCAGACGAATGACGTGTTATGGTTAGCTATACTTCTACTGCCACTTTCTGGTTTAACAAAATCAGCCACTCAAAGGCAGAAAAACGAATCCCAGTAACTAAAAATATCGTCCATTTCTTGTTGCGCAGTCACCTCTCTCTTTTTTGTTTGTTATTGTGAATTCCGAGGAATGTTTTATTATGTAACTTTTTCTCTGGAAGGCCGAAGGCATTTCTTCTGGCTTGTGAAAGGCAAACATACTTTGAACTAAATTTTATCAAGAAAACGTTCTCCAGGTTGCCCAGAGGCTCAATATGAAGACCGTGAACACATCGAGAAATAAAAAGACGTGTGAAGCTTTCAGCGTAAACACAAACTTGACTAAAGATCCACCATTATTCCCAAAACGGAGGAAAAGATGCTATAAAAGAAATGTCTAGGTCTTCTTTCTGACTTCAATTATATGACAAACTTCAGTGAGACCGCCCCGAAGACGACTGCTCTGTCCCCTTCGCTAAGCAGTTCATAAAAAAACAAAAAATTGTTTGCAAGCACTATGCCTACGTTTACAGAAAGGCGATCGTAGCACATCGAATCAATGAAACGCACCTATCTTCCTACGTCTTCCTCTTCTACCTATCTCCTTACAAACAAAGTAGTCAAATCTCGATTCGATGGGTTTCGGTCGCATCCATGTAAACGGCGCCTATAACAGTAGGCACGAGCTTGAGTAGTACAAAGGGACAAGGTAATCAGCATAGTTTCCCTTTATTTTTCTGAAAAAGGATGACAAATTCCAGAAGGTTGGGGACTCCTCCGTGTCTTCTTTTGCTCAAAGCCGCTTCGAAAAGAACGCGGAGGTTTAGCGTGAGCCGCCAGTAACTCGTCAAATTTATCGGGCCATTCTGCACACCAACCAAAGAAGCTCGCCACGCACAGTGTTGTTCGCTTTCGCTTGCAGTGCCAGTAACTTTGTCATGCCTCTCTTGTTTAAAGCTGTGAAAATATTTTCCAAACTATTTAGTTTCTTTATATATATTTCTTTTTTATGTTTTATTTTTCCCTTCAAAATAATTTTTGTATTGAATTGTTTCTACGACCCACAGCTCAGAGCCCCTCGAGGGCCGGGGCCCGGGGGCTGCAGCCCCCTCAGCCCGTCTCCTGACTGCTTAGCATCAGTGTTGGTAGTAACGCGTGACAAATACGGCGTTACGGACAATAATTGGTGGTAACGCGTTACAAGTAACGGCGTTATAGGTGACGCGCTACTTTTTTTGGTAACGGGGTAACGTACTCGTTACAGTTTTTGAAGGCAGTACGGGATAACGCACTCAAGTTACTAATTTCACGTAACGAGTAATATAGTTACGTTACTCGTTATATCTTTTATTAAAGATTTCAGAAACTATACTTAATATTTTTGCGTTTCTAGGCCACAATTTAAAGAAATTCTTGCGCTCATTTCATATACTTTACAAATTTTGCCTTTTTTTCGCACACAAACACTCCAATTTAGAAGCACCGTAACGCCAACGCTCATGGGGTTTGGGGTTTGTTGCGCCAAATCAGTAAAACGTTTTAGTTCATAAATAAAAAAAGTAACGCCAAACGTAACTTGAGCTGCTTTTTATTGGTAACGCGTTTTTTTTTTTAGGTTGCGTAGGTGGCTAACCCGTTCCTTTTATTTCCAAGTAATGGGTAACGCATTTCCTTTCATCTTTTTCGGCAACGCCTACAACATTGCAACATTGATATTAAATTGCTCGAACTTTGCTCTTTTATAATTTTACTGGAGTACAACGTAAGTACGCCGTGTGGGCCTCTTCACAAGCTGCCTGGTAGGAGGCGGCTCCCCAGCCCAAAAAACAGGATGAAGTCGTCGGAACTTCTACACCCACTAGCGAAGTCTTTGATCCCAACCATTTTCGCCTTTCTTTCCTTTCCTCGGCACCACTTAACGACGCTAAAACACCCTTGAGCAAAATCGGTCTCTCCATCAGAGCTACACTCGCACTAGATCGTCCAGCGTGCTCGATTAAAGCACAATCAGAAAAACAAAAGAAATAAAAAAAGAAAGATCCAATGGACTCTTTTGACCAGAAGCGACCAACAAAAGAAACTAGCTCCAGCCGGTCGATCGCTCTTTCGAGCTACCGACTCTAGGAACGAAAGGATGTTGCCCTTTGCACGGAACACGCCTCTTGATTGTCCTCTGGCGAGATGAACCTTTCTTGAGGTGCACCGAGCGAGATACCTTTTTTGCTCTGAAGGGCTGGCCGCGTTGCCTTCAACGCGAGCGCTCCATCACGCTCGACGAACTGTCCGAGAGGTTTTGGTCGATTCGTCCTGAGCAGTATCCTCCCATTTCTCTTTCACCAGCGACAAGTTTGGGGACATCGTAAGGACAGAGTAGAAAGAGTCGAGTTAGGCCTTTCTTAGTTCGTTGTTGTGTTGTGTCGCAGCTTGACTGTTTCGTCGACGTCGAGAGAATGCTCGATCAGGGTGCGAAAAAGCGAGACAAATGATGTGGTCGTGAGAGCCGATGTCGAAAGAAGGGGTTTATTGATGCTATTCAGGGAGGTTTTGTTCCCCCTTACAAGCTGGTTTCGATTGCTTTTTTTTAGTTAGTTTGATTTGGTCTTGCTTTTCGGTGGCAACCCTTCCAAAAGTTTTAAGTGTCCGGACAGTTGCGTAGCTTGGAAGGGTGGCTTGGGGTAAAAAGGTATATAATATGAAGGTAGAGTGAAGGCAAAATGTTGCGTTGAAGCTGGTAACCTAACAAACTCGATGAGACTTATTTTACATTTTATCTGCCCTTCGAGAGGTATAGTGATCTGGAAATGTGCGACTAAAACCGATATTGGCGCAGATGTTTCTGCAGTAAAATGCTTGTCAATCAACAGCAGGTTAGTAATTTAAAGCACGCTACAAACTAAAAGTCAAAATTGTTGTATGGTTTTGTAGTTTGTTATTATAGTGTGTAGTTTGATAATTATATTCGAGAAAGTTTCTTTATCACCAAACTGTTGCTCAAAAAGTAAGTCTCCAAAGTCAAAGTCATATTTGCTGTATGAAGGATTAGACAACGGAGAGTTGCCTAATCACCAAATTGATGCTCCTAAGGTAATTCTATAAAAGTCAGCCATATTTTGTGTATGAAGGATTAAACAACGGAAAGGTGCCTAATCACTGAATTGATGCTTCAGAGAAAATTCTCCGAAGTCAAGTTCATATTCGTTATAGAAAGGAGTAGACAACAGGAAGTTGCCTAATCCCCAGACTGACGCAAACAAAGAGAATGCTCCAAAGTCAAGGTCAAATTTGTTTTATGAAGGATTAGACAACATAAAGTGCCTAATCACCACCCTGATGCCTCAGAGGTGATCCAAAGTCATAGTAAAATAGCGGAAAGTTGCCTAATCACCAAACTGATGCTCAAAAGATAATGGTTCAAAGTCGAAGTCACGTTCATTAGATTAAGGATAACGAAACGGAAAGTTGCTAAATCAACACACTGATGCTTCCAATATTGGTCTTCAAAGATTCAAAGTCTTAGTTCTTGTTCGAAAGACTGGAAAACGGAAGTTGCCTAATCACCGAACTGATGCTGGAAAGAGAATACTCAAAATTGAAAGTTATATTTGTTTCATTAATGATTATATCACGGGAAATTTTCTAGACCTTCCCACTCTTGTTTCTTCGGTAGCTAGGTTTCATTTCGAAAAACGTAGTTCTTTTTTTTGCCTGTAGTTTGCATGTCATTCTTTTTGCAAGGTTACATCTTGTTTATCGTCGTCCGACTACATGCTCTACTCGAAGAGGACACAGATATACCGTTTGTCAACGAACGAGGAACTGCATTGATTATAGCATCAACGGACAATTAAAGACTAAAAAGAAGAGCAGCAGAACACTGGGTATAGCTCCAGATATCATGAGTTATTCTATTAAGAAAAAACTCGGTAGCGGTGGCCTGAATAGGTGGATAGATTAATACGGGTGAAACCTTTGAATGCGGCCTACGCCATACATGTATTTAGCGTTTTATCCAGAAAATGAAATTAACTTTTTTTTAGATAAAATTTAAATAAACCTTTCTGAGACACGCGAGCTGATTCAATGCAAAGCCTAATAAACAGCATGTGTTGAGAACAGCCGCGCATAAGAGTTTTGTGCAGCGCCCGCTAAATGGCCGCAGTTGCTGTGACGTCGCATAACGCCACTTGAGTCTCACGTGACGTCCGTTAGAGGGCATCTGTGTGAAAAAGATAAATGAGCGTGCCACTGTCAAAGCAGTCGTTCGCAATGGTTCCTGTACGCATGGTGCAAAAGATAGTGCAAGATATATTACCATATATTATTTTCATATAAGATGTCCTATCGCTGTGACTGTAAACCGAGCATTCACATAAAACCGTTCAATGTTTACCCCTTTCGGCTGGCACTAACCTATTATAGGCCAGCTCATACTATCGCTGACTCTACGTCACGCGGCCCTTCTATATTTTGGCTTGCGCGCGTTCTTTATTCGCAGGTTGTGCGGAGATCAGTTGTGCCGCGACTGCGCGCTGGGTCGCGGCTGTACGCTGGCCGAGCCCAACGCGACCGAGGACAGCGACGTGGTGTCTTCGTTCGGCAACGCCCTCTACCTGAGCAAGTGGAAGCAATGCTGCAACGCAGCGTGGCGCTGCTGCCAGTCCATGGTCAGCGTTCCGCAGGTGTCCGACGCCGGTAAGAAGGGCTAGAGCAGCAAAGCGCCTAGAGCGACAAGTGTATTGGGATGCGCAACACTTTAGTAACCATTAGCGCCAATTTGTTTCGGTGGTGCACTGTTATGGCTCCTCCTTGACGTCAGGACCAGGATTTGCCTCCGTGTGATGCCATGAGTTGTAACCTCGTCTACTTATATTTAGCTTTAATGATAAATTCAGGGTGTACTTGAAAAAACAAAGTAGAAGTTTGGAATTCTCGCATTATTAAAACTAACAACGTCAAAACTGAGAGTCTGCAATCACTCTTATTACGTCGATGTCATAGTGAGCGTTTGGTTTGTTTAGAAAATTGACTCTCATCTAGAAAGAAACAAATGCGGCAGAACGGTCCATCAAAGAGGGACTAAGGCAATGAAGTGACCGTGCTCTTACTGTAAAACTGAAAAGAAATATTCTTGAAGATTTAAAGCGGCAGCCTACTTTTTAATAGACACTTTCCGAAATTCAGTCTGGACTCATCAGTAGCTATCATCACCTAAGTGTGCATCATTTCTACATTAATGGTGGCCTTTTGATGGCTGGGGAAGGAACGATATCAAGAAAGAGACAGATATGAACCCTGTGCATCTATTTATTTATTTAAATACCTTAAGAACCCTGAGTCAGGGTATTACATAAGGGAGTTGGTTAACAAAATAGCGAGGTTAACATTTGGCGAAAGGAATCGATGTCTTGAGCAGAGACGATGGCTCCGGGCAGGTCGTTCCAGTCCACAGATGTCGCCGGAGAGTTAAGGAATGCTGAAAATACGCTATAGTTCGTTGTATTTTTGTTCGATGTCACCGAGACGTGACTTATGAGCTTCTAAGCGCTATACATTTGAGGCTGTCATGTAAGTCTTTGGAATGCTCGGCTTCAGCACGCCCTAAACAGCTTATGACAATAAAATGCTCATTTTATCGAGAGGTTCACTGAACTATAAGCGCCGTGTGCAAAGTGGTATTGTCTTGACATGATCGAAACTGAAGCAAATAGAGAAATAAATGTCAATCGAAAGATACCGTAACTTTCGTGCGTCTACCGTTGATGAAGAGGTACAAGAATCTCTCCTCTGTTAGCATATACAAAAATTTGGACTGATATTTCAGCCACTAGATGTCGCTGAATTGGTAAAAGGGTCAATAGACTTATCGCTAAGTTACTCAAGCATCAAGGAGAATGCAGGGAGGGGTGTTCCACGCGCCACACGCGCACGCCTTCCCCGCATAAAATATTCGAAGTAAATAACCAAAATAAAGCGTTGGCGAACGCGCGTGCAAGATGCAATTTGTTTCAGGCATTTGCTTTAGAAAAGTTACTACTGCTGAGGCCAGCACGTGCGACGCGTGGAACACCCATCCGTGCATTTTCCTTGATGCTGGGGTAATTTAGCAATAGGTCTATTATAACTTTAGCTCTGAAAGGGATGCTGAACCGAAATCTGGATTCCACAAAACATGCGGAAAAAGCGTGCAACGGGATACTACAAACGCCAAAACATCATTAATACACCAATATCTGAAACGGATGACCGCATTTTTCAAGAAAAGGAGGCGCATTTGACAGAAATGTTCACGTCATGTTTTCTCTGGGAAGGAGAGGGAACGGCCTCGCGTCTTCTCCGCCTCGCGGCCTTGAGGGAGTGAAGTGAAGAGAGGAGAAAATTAGGTTTCTTCACGGTCGCGCGCCTTGTCGGCCTTGTACAATCTCGACCTCTTTTTCCGAAAATACGGCCGTCCATTCGATATATCGCCTTACGAGTAGTGTTGTAGGGATTGTAGCGTCCCGCCAACATTTCCTGCATTGTTTTTTCTAAAATCCAAATTTGGTTCACCATCCCTTTAAGGCTGCGTCCCACGGCAGTCATCTTGAACGAGGCGTTAGTTCAACCAATAGATGGCGACACGCACCTGTGGGGTGGCCGAAATATTGGTTCACGGTGGGATGGCTCGAGCACCATCACGTTCCCATCATGGCCTTGCTCGCGCCGCTGCCAGCTATACTCAACTGACTCAATACCGTGGCGGTGATGGTGGTGGTGGTATTTGCCTGATGTGAGGTTTTTCTCACTGGCTGTGGAAAAGTTTCACGGGCTTGGGTTATGGCAGTTTTGATGAGAATGAATGCAGGGGAAAGGAGGGGGAACAGATGGCGATGAAAATATAGGATGATGAAACGCAAGTTAACAAATTAAACTGAAATAAAGAGTCGGCAAGAAATCAGTCAAAAGTGAGAAAATGGGCACATCTAGAACGCGAGCATCACAAAATGTGCACAAAATTCCCGCAGGAAACTTTACGAAAAAAACTATCACTGGCGCACAAGCACAAAATGAGAAGTGGCGGTCGTATTTTCTCACTCACAACAGCCGTGCCAGAAGCCCACAGGCATCCAAGAAGCTGAACACAGTTTTTCGGAGACGTGTGCACGTGGATGGGGGACCCTTGGGGAATAGCATATCCACAAGGGTGGGTGAAACACCGAGGTTGTTCAGTGAAGCTAGAAGGACAGTTCTTTCTGCATTGTACTGTCCACGTTAAAAAAAATATATTTGCGTCAGCGTTTCTGGCTGATCGCAGTGCTCGCAGAAGGGGCTGGTTGTTGTTTTGATGTGGTGCAGGTTCACTTGCGTGTACGCGCAGTCTGTTCTTTAAGCGGTGGAGAAGAGAAGCAAACTTTTGTGTTAGGCCACACGTACAAGCTGGAGGAGGAGGTTCATCAGATGCCACACTGGGAACGGGATGTTTGTGTTGTATCAAGTCTTAATAGGGTCATTCTATGTGTAACGTCCCAGACGTTACACTCTTACACACTCCAGACGTTACGCTCGACCACCTCCGAAATCTAAAAAAAAACAAAAAAATCATGGGCTAAAAAATTTGTGATGACGTGAGCGCGATTTTAATTTTTGAAAACAGCGTGAAACTAGGCATCACTCAATAATTTACGAAAAATCTGCTTTTTTATGAAACACCCAACAATATTTTTTTCTTAAATTTGCACGGTTGTCGACTTACAATTTGGTTGAGTTTGTGCAGTTTTGTTTAATTTAAATATTTTTAAAAAATACATAATTTTATTCAAAAATATACATTTTCCACATTTTATTAAATAAATATATAATTGCTCCCGGGACCAAATATAACTTTTTACTGGCTGCCCTCTAGGTTTATAACCTATCAATAATATTTTAAACCGCTCAACTAAACATCTTGCAGTAAAAGAAATCCTGAAGTTGCCAAAAAGTGCGTTCGCATAAACAGCCGTTTATTGCACCCTGAGGTGGTTCAAGTAAAAATACAAAATATGGTGGGTTTGGAAGAACGATTGATCGTCTTTTGATTCTGAAAGTTTAATCAGAGTAATTTTTGTTTAAAGTGAGAAAACAATTTTTGAAGTTGAACTCTCGCACCACTACCCGGCGTCGCTTCTTAACGCCTCTTCCCCGCACAGCACGCCACCTGCGGCGATAGCCGAAGTGATTAGGTCCAAAGAAACAACTTAGTTCGCTGCCCGCTTCCCCTCGTCCCTCTTTTGTGGCTGTAAGGGAAGAAACGGCGGGTATCGTGTACTAATCGGAGGTGCCGCCAGTGCGTCGCCATAGCAGGCCCGTTGTGCCCTTGTACGCGAGGGCGGCTCCTCCCACTCCGAAACGCGATGCCTAATCGACGGGTGGCATCAGCTGACGTGGAGGTCTGAAACACGATAATATCGCCGCGAAATCTAGCCGTCACGCATGCTGCGGTGAAAAGCGGAACTATGATCCGGTTCGTGCTTAGTTGGAGCGCAGTGAAGGCTGCGCATGATCAAAACTCTGAAACGCGCTGATTCAGTATGTTAACTCGGACGCTTGAAGCATCGTCACAAGCCCAGATTGCGCTTCTAGCATTATTTTCGTTCTATATTGCCAGTGCGGGAATCTTTACATGACCCATCGGAAATAATGAATAAACAAAGGCACGTGTCCGCACTATTGACACTGGGTATCGAGTCTCATTCCTTGCCTTTTGAGGAACCCGCTTCTGGGCTAGTAAGCTAAGAAAGGACTGGCAAGCGAGAAGTTGGCTTTTCAACGACCATTTGAGATCGGAAGTGTGTCGAAGAAAGAGCTTCATTTTTCGTCAAGTACGTTGTACGGTGGTGTAACGATGGATAAAGCTCTCAGTATAAGAATAAAAAAAAAAGCTTAGCAAACCTCTGTCAACACAAAAATGATTTCGGCATTTCCGCTGAATGGAAACTTTTCGCAACGTCCCAAGGGAAGAGTGCTTGCGACGGAGTCGGGGGTACATTGAAGCGTCTGGCAGCAAGGGCCAGTCTTCGAAGTCCCTTCGAGAACCAAATCATGACACCCCAGCATCTGTTTACCTGGGCCAAAAATAACATCGGGAACATAAGAATATTTTGGGTGCCGAAAAAAATGGTTGAAGAAAAACGAGCTCGACTCACTCCAAGATTCAGCTCAGCCGTCCCCGTCAAAGGGACAAGAAGTCACCTTCACTTTAAGCCTGCTTCACCATCTACGCTACGTACTGGACTTACGTCCTATTCAGCAATGCAAGAGTTTGTCATTTCAAAGTTCATTTGAACACAAACGACGCGTGACCCTTCAACGGCGCGCATTCGTCAACACCACATCGCCTCGTCGTTCGAGATTGCCCGTTCACGGGTCTTTTGTGCTGCTTTTTACATCCGTCCTGACGTTAACAAGAGAGAGTGATAGCGTTGTGTATGTAGGAAACAGCTAGCTTGCTAATGGATGCTCTGAATCGGCAGCGCTAAGCATCTCCTGACATCAAGACACTGGAAGATCACAGGAGGACATCGCCGCGTAAAACCGTCGAAATGGGAAAAGCCATAAAGCAACAAGAGTGAAAAACAGCCCCTTTTCACCAAGATGTACCCGACAACTCAAGGTCCGGCTCCCTACCTGCGTTGGCACACCGTTACACCGTCGCACGCTTCGCCGGGCGCGACGGT